TCAAAATAAATTGTATGACTAATTAATTTTATGCATTTGAATTGAATAGGGTAAGTCAGACTTGAAATATCTCAATAGAATAGCAAATATGTTGGAAACTGTAGATGATTCCACAAGAACAGACTAGACTAACTCTAGCCTCAATTTTAAGTATTTGTTTCAAAAGAAAAGTAGAAGTTTAGCCCAAGTAAAGGAAATTTGAAAGTTTAAATCTCCGTCTGAAAAAATGGAAACCAACCGTTACAGTCATGGCTTTGACAATTAAGTACTGACAATCTGAGCACTCCGGTTAGTTCTTTGGCTGTTGATTAGGATTTCATGGTGGTGATTAGTGAGCGTGAGGATGCAATCACATCTGTGGGGTTTAATCAGTCCAGTGCTGGAGAAGTTAGTCAAATGGAGAGAGAAACTAGAATGTCTGTGTGGAATCCTAGTAGGGTTTTTCCCTTTTTTTTTTAAAAAGTAGAGAAGCCTACCATTTATTTTATTTTTTTTTCCCCCTGGGGTTTGCAGGGTTTGTAAATCGTGGTATTGATTTTCTAGTTCCATGATGCAGGTGTATAATGGTGTTGACACCTGTGAGGGGGAGAGAAGATGCATGGTGGTACCCATATGCAGCCTCTCTGAGGTTCAGTATTTCATTTTTACAGTTGTGAGCAGTATTTGTTTTTCCATATTGTGCAACCAGGTATCTGCTTTTCATTTTTGTAAATCCAGTATTTTAACTGTTTAGCTTGGACATATACAATATTTTAGTGTGCTTTATTTTCTTCTGTTATACATTCTGATTATGTGGTGTCTTTTTAACATTTAAAGCATTTCTCTTGCAAAAATTACTTACAAATATGAACATTTTGCCCTCTGCATTCCTGTGGAGCAGATAGGTGAATAGCTACATGTGTAAGAAACAAAGAACTGTGGTGGGTACCCTTGTCTACAAAGGAAACCCCCAAACGGAAAACTTTTGGATCTCTGCTCAGCGCCTAGCTTCTCAGTGACCTTTCTGACTCTGGCTTTGAGTAAAGGTGACCACGTGCTGAATCCCCCTTTAGAACAGTCTCCACCGGTACGTTCTTAACTTGGAGGAGAGATGCTGCTGTTGCTGCCTGGCGGTGCAAGCAATCCTCCCACTGCCACCCTTCAGTTCGCTGGTACCGTTCTCGCACCCTTTCTCGTCTCTCCGGCACAGAGCTCAGTTTGTGTAAATAGTGTTGCCTGCACCAGTGCATGCCTCTATGCTGTTCCGCTGGCATTGATTTCTTCCACATTGTCATTTAATGATTGGTTTCTTTATTCACACTTCTGTTTGACTTTTTTTTGTTGGTGGTGTTATGTTATTTTCTAGTAGCACCTATAGATCTGTATTGTCATAAATTCATGTAAGGAGAAGGTTGTTCCTACCCGTCAAAGCATGTAATCTAACAACAGCAATCATGTTTTAAAGGAATGTTTTCTGGGAGCCTGTTGCTACGCAGATTATAATGTTTTGTTTTAATGGCAGGGGCCATCCATTTTATGTATATTTGTACAGTGCCTAACAGAATAGGTGTGATTGAGCTTTGAAGTGTCTCAGTAAAAAAAATTAATGATGAACAGTGGTAGATACTTACATGGACCTCTAGAAGGGTAAGGAAATTCTTGTCGCTGTTTTAATTTTATTTAGAGCATGGGCTCTGAATAGCTGGAGTACCTTCCGGAACAGAGCATCTGTCTGGAGATGACAAAAAAAAAGGGGGGGAAGAAGAAACTGGCTTCAAGGCCCAAGTCGGTGGTTCTTGAGACAGTAACAGATTAAAAAATATGCTAAAGATTCAAAGTAAAATATAAACCAGAATTTGACTGAGAATGCTGGTTTGAAAAATAGGAGACAGAACTGTATTTGAGAGATAGGATAGAATTAAGCCAAAAAAACCCCCATCCAAATCTGGAAATTAACTAGGAACACACAGGGAGTAGGATAGTAAAATGCCAAATGTTTTCCAAAGGACTATGTATCTCTCTGTTCCCGTTAACTGGCCCCTACTTCTGTACACTTCATCGTGTGCTACGGAAACATGCTGTATGTCAATTCCATTTTTCCATTTTGTTGATGTTTGGCTCAGTCGACTTTTGCCTCCTAAGGAAGCAAAAAATCAGTAGTACTGTAACAACTGTATTTTATATATCTCTGAATGGGATGCGGCTATTGCCTTTCAGGCTAAAAGGTCCTATAGCCCCGAATATCTAGCAGATATATTTTAAATAAACTATGTAGGGTTACATCACATTAGAATCAATAGTAGTATGCTATTGTAGCCCTACAAGACAAGGTTCATGGGGAAAATAAATATCTTTCATTTAGCTTACAGAGGGCCCAGAAACATAAGTAAGCTTTTGGGCACTCAAGCTCTTCTTAACTAGTGCCACTAATGATAATGATTTTTCTTGAATAGTGATAATACTAATTATTTTAAAGGAAGGGGAAGGCAGAAGAAATGCATCTAGTTCATAGCTCTATCAGTAGTATTTACAGGTACGGTTCTTACCTCCAGAATTCATCCAGCGTAATGTTAAATCATGAAGTCATAAAAGACTGTCAGTGCATTTAAGGAGTGATAGGTTTGTAAGCAGAACACAAGCGGACTAAAATGCTGGGGCACCAACTGCTGATACAGATTTCGGCAAGCTGCAGTGACCTGCGCGGTCCAGCCCAGTGTCGGTCTGTATCCGAGCGCACGTGATGTCTGCCCTGCTCAGCAGTCGTTAGCTGCTGAGCCACGGGCGCTGCTTTGTATTGACACCGCGTGTGTGCGTCGGCACAAGAAATTTACACCAGCTGCAGTGTTCAGGTGCACATTTTTTCTTCCAGCCATACCATAACCATGCCACACTCTTTAAGTATATGTAGTTCTGTGTTCACTCTTCGCTCTGTAGGCAACACAACACCCTGAGACAGCGGTGGAGTTTGTAAACCCATCTTGTAGGCCAAAGAGATGAGGCTGAATTCATGCAAAATTTCCTCTTGGTTGTTTCCAGGAGACAAACCAAAATGATAAACAGCGTTACTAAGTATCCGAGTATCTAAAGTTAATCTAAATAATTTTGTAGTCCGCGTAGCTGTAGTGATGTGTTTGGGTTTTTTTCCCCTACTAACCTGAGGAAAATAATACTTGAGCTAATCTACTACTTCAGAAAAATAAAACATTAGGCGGAAGGATGCTGAGCGTCAGTGCCTGGCAAAGAGAAGCTAAGTGTGAAATTTCAGGAATCTTCCTTCTAACCTTGACTGCCAGACTGACACTGAAGAAAAGCTTAAGCATCCTCCTTCCCTCATGCATATTATTACATGCCTCTGGAACTTTTTTCTTCTGCTCTGTTATTCTCTTTCTTTGTAAGCTTTCAGGAAAAGAAAGGGAATAGATTATAATAATATTGTAGCACCAATGCTATTGTGTTTGCAGTAGCCTTAGCCCAAGATAATGATTTGATTAGCATGGCTTTTTTACTTACCGGAATTAAAGATACATGGATTTTCTTGGGATTCTGTGCTTTCAGGATGATTTTTTTTTTCTTCACCTTCTTTCTTCAGCTGTATATCTTTGCAGGGAAGTTGGAGGTTTAAAAGAGGTATAGACCCTTCAGTAATACCCAAGGACAAAAAATTAGTGCAGTGAGTCATCACAGTCACTCCTGGAGATATTTTTTAGCGATTAAGTCCTATGCAATGCATTTGTTCAAAAGGGCCATTGTTCCTTAAATCACTGATGATAGTTCTTCTAAAATTTAATTTTTTTTTTTCCTGCAATGTAGTTGCTATAAATGAGATTTGACATTTCCAGTTTTGGTATTTGAATGGCCTCAAGGAGGCTTTGAAAAATTTGACATACAAAATACGAAACTCTTAACGAGAATATTAAAGATAAACTAATAGTTCATCGTGCAGTGAAGAAGCAGTAATTTATCGGATTCTAGCAATCCAAAGAATTACAATAGTGTTGAATTACCTACCAAAAAAAGTTTTATTGCTTTAATTAAGTAGTTGACAGAGGTATATTTTCTAAAATATTAATACTTTTCCTCCCTTTCTTTTATAGCTTCTTTTGCTTCTAGCTATATAACACCCAGAAGTTGTGTATGTTGGCAGACAGATAAGCAGAGCTATTGCCTTTGCCAGAGGGTGTAAAATCTCGATTCCCACTGAGGTTAGTGAGACATTTGCTCTCAGCCTCAGGCCTTGAATCAAAAAAGCACTTTTTAGTGCAGTTGGGTTTGAGTTTTCTAACAGAAGCAATTATCGTGACTACTCAGGGACATCTATACCACACTTGGAATCTTACAGCTTGTTTAAAGAAAAAAAAAATCCTTTCCTGAGTCAATTCAGACATTACAAAAATGAAAAAAACTTCTTGATGTAGAATTTTTGTTTATTCCCCTTTGCACTTCGGTCCATTTTGCAGCGAGACTTGACATGGTTCATATATTTGATGTTTGACTCATAACATTTTTAATCTTCTTAGTAGAAGGAAAAGAAAAAATTAATTTTAGCTTATAAAGTAGAAGTAGTTTCAGTTGCCTCCGTTGCTAGAATTTGATTGTAGTGTGTTAAACTTTTATTGCTCCTCATTTTCTATTACTAAATATATATTCTTTAATGTGAAACTAATTCTTTTTTACTCTCCCCC